GCGAGGTTGTGGAGAGATTGGGACTCTCATATACTGCTGGTGGGACTGGAAAATGGTACAACCATTGTGGAAAGCACTATGGCGATTCCTTAAAAAGTTGGAAATAGAAATACCATTTGACCCAGCCATTCCATTACTAGGTATATATCCTGAAGAAGTGAGAGCCATGACAAGAACAGACATATGCATACCCATGCTAATTGCAGCACTGTTTACAATAGTCAAATGATGGAAACCACCTAGGTGTCCATCAACTGAGGAATGGATAACCAAACTATGGTACATACACAAAATGGAATACTACGCACCCTAAATAACAACCCAGAATCTGGAAAACACCTCATAACATGGATGAACTTGGAGGACACTATGCTGAGTGAAATAAGTCAATCACAAAAGGACAAATATTGTATTAGTCCATTATTGTAAAAATCAAGGAAAGGTTTATCTATGGAAGGAAATTTTCTTTGTTGATTACCAGGGGTGGGAGGGGAAGAGAGGGAACACTTAGATATTTAGAGATTAGTATTGATTTTGGTGAAGAGAAGGGCAATGTACCAAATGTGAGTGATGCAACATGGTGGCACTGAGAAAGAGAAAGACATAGACAGGTACAGACAACAAAGATGAACCCTTCTGCACATATAGTACTGCGTGTCAGTGAAGGCAAACATGGGTACAGGTGGATAGATGGGTGGACAGGCTGAACTAGTAGTAGTAGGTATGTCTATGAAGTGGGGAGTGTACTCAAGACCATGTATAGGGTTGGCAGACAGTAGTCCTATAAGTTTATTTGTATGATCTGAATTACCAGGTGTACAGTAGAGTGGACAAGGGGCAAGGTTGTAGTCACTTCTTGGGCACAGCCAGCTACTCAGAGGGATGGAGTAGTTGAACCGGTAGGCTTGGGACCATAGTTGCAGGAGACATGAAGCTCAATTGGCATAACATGCTACACAAAACATTGTTCCACCTCCTACTTTGGCGAGTAGCGACTGGGATCTTAAAAGCTGGCAAGCAGCCATCTAGATGCAATGATGGGTCTTTCCTTGTCCAGAGTAAAGAAAAATGAAGAAAACCTAAGATTCACGGAAACAATTAGTCCTAGTGACTGGGTACACCATGTGAATCTCAGCCTATATGACTATGAGAGCAGAATTAGATGGTGCCCGGCTACCACTGTCAACCACTCTTGAGTGGGATCTATGTAGGAGATCCTGGATAGAGAGGGAGAACAATGTAGAACAAAACTCAAAATCATTTGGAGAAAAAAAAAAAAGGATATCAGGTTTGCTGGTCCAATAGAGCCTGGTCGAACACTGAGACTATGGCCCCTAGCTGCCCTTCAGATCTGGAATTGAACCCACACCTGTGGTTTCCAGCCAAAGAAAAGACAGGCATATGAGTTGAACATTTACCTGACATAGATACACTCCTTGGAGGGAACAATCATGGGAGAAAGAACGGCTGCTTATGCACAGGGAGACAGCTCAGGGGGCAGGAGTACATGGAGGGATGGACAAAGGGAAGAATTAACTATTGGGAGGAAGTGGGAGGGGAACTGTTGCATTGTGGTAAATTGTAGTCAATGTCATGGGACAAAGTGTATGTGAACTTCTGTATGGAAAGTGAATTTGCTCTGTAAATTTTCACCCAAATCACAATAAAAATATATATGTATATATATATATATTACCTGCTAACATGTCTACTACTTTGAAAACATTCTCAACAATAAATTAGAAGAATGGTATTGTCTGGATTTTTATAAATATCTTTTCTGTCCGAATTAACAAAAAACTGAGTCCTCTCTCACATCAGTGTCTGCATTCCATCAGCACTGTGTTGTTTTGTGTGAAGTATAGGAAGAAAATCTAGCCTTACACATATTTGTAAGTTGAAAAAGGTAGTATCTCAGGGACATCCTGAAATGAACTTGGGAACCTAGATGTCCTTAGCCAAGACTTTGAGAACCACTGTTGTAAGAGCAGAATATATTTCCTTGCTCTTTGATATGGGCCTGGTCACAGGGCTGCCTTTGGCCAACAAAATGTAGCTGGAGATGACAGGGCAATTCCAAGTTGTAGGCCTACCCTGTATCACTTGTTCTCTTCCTCCTCAGTTATCACCATGATAAGACATACCCATGTCGCCAGAAGAGAAGTCAAGGAGGGCACTGCCCAGCCTGTTGTCTAGAGCCACCCATCCAAGGTCAGCCAACCCTCTACCAATCCTCAGATGTATAGGTCAGAAGTAAATGACTCTCTCACAGGCCAATGACTTATAAGGTAGTGTTATCCAGCAAAAGCTGACTGATATAAAAAGGTGGTGATAAAAATTACCATACAGATTATGGGAATTTGGAGCCAAGCCAAGCCAAGCCAAGCCAAGCCAAAAAAAAAAAAAAAAGTCTAAGCCAGGCAATCACCAACTTGGTTGTGTAAAATTCCCAGAAAAAGGCTTACCCTCTCTCTCATATATCAGTGCTAAACACTCTGTCCCTGCATAAGAAACTATTTCCATCATAACATACACTTTTGCCCCTCTCTCAAGTTCTAGTGCATGAGAACTGCCAGCCAGCCAATTTTCCCTACTGCATTCTCAGGCCTTCCCTTTCCAGAGCCTGGCATATGCACAATTCCTAGAATAAGCAACTCAAATCTTATCCTCTGATTGACTAGGCCAGAAAAACTCCTGATCCAAGCTCAATCTGAGTATGAACCAAGACTGTGCAAACTAATCAGAATGGGCTGAGAGCCACAAGGGAAGTGAGGCACCCTCAAACCCTGATAGCCCCTAGATCCCATTTGTCTAACACACAGCAGTGTTTGCCTTTGATCTCTCTATTCTAAAGGTCACTCCTTTGTTAACTGAGGGACTTTGGTCTTTTATTTATTTATTTATTTTAATAAAAGTCTAAAGTGGACTAAAGTCTCTTAATGACTGGTGTGCCAAAGGCTAACTTACTGTGTGGGGATTGCAGTACATCCATTGGTGCCAGTCTAACCAGAGAAGAAAGCTCAACCAACAATTTTGTGGCAGATGTTTATTTATAAGGAATTAAAATTTATGCATCTATGTGACACGAGCATTATATATTGTATACTTTCCATGATAAAAATTATGGGTACTGCTCACAGAAAGGCCTTAAATTACATAATGCATATGCTATAAAATGCACACCAGGGAGGAAAGGGAGAACCTAATGGTCTTTTTTTTTTCTTGGTTTAAGTAATGTCTGGATATATTTCTAATAATACTGATCCTTTACTATTCAAAAAGCTTTTAATAAACAAATTCAGAGTAAAATTAGTTAAGTATTTATAATATGGTTTAACTGTTACACAGTATTTCCAATATATAATTAAGATGATGCACACTTGAAGAAAAGAGGAAAAATATCTATTGCACCCACAGTAAAAAGGCTTTATTCATTTTTGGAACACCACAATTCAGTCTTTATATAAACATTTACACACACTTTAATAAACAGAAGTCCTACACGTAATGCAGCATTAGGGGCGAGACGACCATTTAAATTTCAAACATAAATATGAAATGTCCAAAGCTTATTTCCAGCCATTATTCTGCTCATGGACAATCTCAATCTTCCTGCCTTCCCATCCCTACATGTAGAGACTAATATTTTCCATTACACATACCAGACACTCTAGTATGAACCACATGCAATGTTTGTCTCCTTGCTCACAGTCTCTTGTCATCAACCTAATGATGTACTTCTTCACCTTAGTGTCCTGTTAGATAATCTTGTGTAGAGTCTGAGGCGAAAGAATCTACATCCTCATTATCTGAGTCATCACTGCTGCCATTGGCAGTGGGCTCTCCTGTAAGTGCTATGCGAGCATAATCATCTGTGTCAATTGATTTGCAAAAGTGGATGGCATATTTCAGCTTTTCCTCCAGTACCTGTTTACAGGAATACCTGGGCAACTTCAGCAAAAAGAAACATGTGTATGATTCAGGAAGGAAATGGTCAGGAGGGTTGTATTTGTCCAATACCTGTTGAGGAAACATGTAAAAGAATCAGGGACATAGACACAAGGACAGGTCAAATTGCACACGCATTTTATTATGTACAACAGACTATCACACAGAAAAATCATCACATTTTTGGCTAAGAATAACAAAATGTCAGAACACACATAATCTCACCAATTTCAGAAATAAAAAGGAGTAAAACATTAGTTCATAGAACTAGAGTTGTTGTTGTTGTATGCTGTTGAGTCGGACCCGACTCATAGGGACCCCTCCTTGGGTTTCCGAGGCAGCATCACTACGGAAGTAGATTGCCCCATCTTCCTTGCAAGGAGTGGCTGGTGGGTTTGAACCGCCAGCTCTCTGGTTAGCAGTCAAGTGCCTTAGGCACTATGCTACCAGAGCTCCTAGAACTAGAGTAAGAAATATAAATTAGTTATTATGACTACTTTTTACTAATCAATACTGAGAAGAGGATCCAAATGCTTCATCCATCCCTTGTTGACACAGGAGGGAGACCAGCCCTCTTAGCCAGAGCCCTGGGCAAGCGGGGCAGAAGGAGGGGGCTGTGGCCCATACAGAGAGGTCCGAGTGAGTGCATCACTCACCCTCTGCTACTACAAATTAAGACACTAGGGAGCCAGCAAGAACTGTGAGCAAGTTAGGAATTACCTACCTTTTAATTGAAAAACTATAGACTGTTACAGGTCTCCCTGAAAGATGAATGCTTTTCTCAACCAGTCAAAGTCTTACGCCAGGCTGAGCTTAGGAGAGAGTCTGTCCTGAGTTCTTACCAGTGTGCTGGGGACAGAGTGGGCACCTGCACCCAAGTCTAGTCCCTCAGAGGAGCAAGGCCACCTCTGTGGGATTCCTACAAGTCAGTACACTCGAATGCTTCAGGAGAAAGAAGGCAAGGGGTGAGAGGGCCATGGGCCATGTCACTTGTAGGGTCATGCCATTTAACTTAAAAAAAAAAAAAAAAACGACTCACTGCCGTCAAGTCGGATCTGACTCATAGCGACCCCTCCTTGGGTTTCTGAGGCAGTATCACAGTATCACTAAGGAAGTAGATTGTCTAATCTTCTTTCAAGGAGTGGCTGGTGGATTTGAACCACTAGTCTTCTGGTTAGCAGTTAAATGCCTTAGGCACTATGCCACCAGAGCTCCCATTTTTTTTTTTTTTTTTTTTTAACTTAAAGGACCCATTAATTAAATAGAGCTTGTTTCTAGACAGAACTAGGTAAGAGGCACAAAGCAGTCTGATAAGCTTTCTGATTTTTTTCTTGGTAAGTCACATATTACTTAGTCATTCACCCAATTCAACTGGTAAAAGAAACAAATCCTTTATGTAATATATGCGCTCTAAATCCAGACTATATGGACATAATACCACCATATTCTGATAATGGTCATATATACATACATACATATATAGATATATTTTAATGTAGCCTAAGGTATTCAAGAAAAATAAATGAACACAACTCTGTACGCAGAAAATTTTGAGCCATCAAACTAAAGAAGTTAAGACAGCTTTCATTTCATTTCAGTGAAGAAAGCAATCTAATCTACTCCAGGACTCTGTTTCTCCCGATCTGGTGGTGTACAATCAGCCACCATGAGCATTGGATACAGCCATCATAGCAGAGAAGTGTACCTGGATAACAAAGTCTCGGCCACGGAAGTCAGCAATGGTCCTGGGAAGCCTGGTCCGGCCCCATACGAACCGAAGGAAGAGGGAGCGCTCCGTATTGGAGAAGGACTCCATCACCTCCCAGAACCACTGGATCAAAGATGCAGATGGTTCAATCCCTTTATATGTTGCCACTGACTTTAAAAGATGCAAAGGGATATCAGGGCTTCCACAGACCTGCAGAGGAAAACTCTATCAGGACTAGGTGACACTGTCAAATCTTTGCATTTGCAGCAGAGAATTTATCACTTTTTCTTTCTACAAAAGCCTATTCTTAGAACGGGCAGTGTTTCAGTGTGTCTGAGAGGGCTGGTGAGATGAAACCATCCTTTTTGCCTGACCTGGTCCTGGATATCCAGAAGTGCACTCTGACTTCCACTTCAGCCTTTTTATGGGGGTGGAGTGGAAGAGCAAGGAGAAAGAGAGTGAGGCAGGGAGCACTCAGAAACTGTAAGTGTGCTTGTACTTCATTCAACATGCATGGATCATCTTAGATTTCCAAACGAAAGAGGAAATTAGTGAGTGACATGGATTCAGTTGTTCACCATACAAAGGGCAGCTCCCACAGGACCCAGGACAGTCAGCATACCATCGTCTCCAGTTCATATCCAGTGAACAGAGAGAGGAGGGGTACAGGGACCACGCGGGCCATCCCTTCTCGAACAGCAGCCACTTGCTCATCAAACTCATGGAGTCTGAAAAAAGACACTCACTTCACATTTCTATTAGTGATATACACTTTCTCTTGGTTATACCAAACATTACTCAGTAGTACGTGATTGTACGCTTTACTGATGGAAAGGGCTAAAAATACGGTTCAGGGGAAAAGGTATGTGTGTCTCACAGACCTGGCACAAAAGCACTTCTCACAGGTTACTGTCCATCACACTGGCAGATACCATATACTCTTTAAAGATCTACCTGTAGACAGATGTTTTAAGGTCCAATTCTCAACACTTATGGTACCCATGAAAGAGCCCAGAGTTGTGTCAGCCCCACCCTGTATGCTGTGCTACCCTGGGACGAAATGCATGCCCCAAGACAGGCTGTACTTGGGAGTATTGATGCTGTGCCACTAAGTCAGAGATGGCATAGGGAACAGCATATCAAATAGTCATCTCATTTGGTGCCTTTAGGAAGGCACTATGCCTCCCAGTGAATATGAGAGGGAAAATCCCACGAACCTGTAGTTTATGGCCAGGCGAACATACTCAGTCCGGTTGTCTAGTGTGATGTGAGTATGCTTGGAGCTCAGCTGAATGTCCTGGCCACTTGCGCTAGGCACTGTGAAGGGTAGGCCCATGGCCTCAAACTCCTCTGAGGTAGCCTCGTTGTCACGGATGTACATGAGCCCAGGAATGAAATCTTTATCCACCTTTTAAGGAGAGATGACACCTGTGCTGAGCCAGAAGGTGCTCCTGGCCCCAGCCCCACCTCATGTCAAGTTGAACCTCATGATCCTCCCTGCACAAGGGTACAAGGGTATCAGTTGGACTGTAAATCATGACAAAGCAGTGAGGAGCTGAAGCAAGAACATGTAGTTGAAGGAAACACATTATAATTAATGTCTGAGAAAGCATTACCATCTGGTAAATGACAGTATCCCTCCACAAACAGCACAATGCAAAGTGCAGTGCAGAAATGAAGAATTTGCCTCTACCCCAGGAACCTTCCCAAACTCAATTTCCTTGAAGGAAAAACAGCCACCTGCCTTATCTGACAAGATGGTGTGGTATCCACATCTGTGTGCAACAAAGCACCACAAAGTGGATGGTCTATCAAATTCTAGAAGTAGCTGGCCTAACATCAGCAAAAGCTTCTGCAACTCCAAATGTGATTGACAGACCAGTCATATGGATATCATGTGAAGTGTTAGACATGTTGGGTCCTGGGACCTCGCCTAGGCCTCTCAGGCAGACTCCAGGGTACCAGGCCCACCATGCTCTGTGTTCCTCTTGGAGGTAGGGCTGAACAGATCCATGGTGGCACTGCAGAGACCAACATTGTATGAGTTACCTCACTCAGGTCAGCAATGTTGAGGCTCATCCCGGCCAGCTGCTTCCAGACAGGCTCTGCAAGGCTGAGGCTGAGAGGACTCCCAGTGCGGATGGCAATGCCCAGTAACACACCTGGTCAAACATAAGGGACAGAGAACACTTACAATTGACTATGGAACGCAGTGCAGATTTACCTGTACAGTGAGGCCTAAGCAACCTCTATATTGATAGCGCTCAAAGCCATGTGATGACCACTCAAGGACATATGCATATTCTAAATTTTTCATTTCCTTTTTGCTCCTATAGGCTACCAAAGTGTTTTTAAACGCTACCAAAGTGTTATCTCAAAGTAGAAATCCTTCATTCTCTTTCCACCAACAGGGTTAAGCTAGTTAGTACTCATATGATAGCAGAAGGAAATAGAGCTCTTAGGGACAGGTGTTATGCCCTACAGCAGCAGCCTCACATGCTCCTGGACACAAATGAACTATCAGCCAGAAGTGCTCCACCCAGAATCTGAGGTGCAGAATGTGGTGGGGCTGGGTAACAGCCAAGCTGTTCCCTCATAACAATCAGATATAGTTAGAAACACACAAAACACTGGATTTAGATCCTCTGACCTTAATGATGTGGATAGAGTAAAGCTTTTGGGACCTCCATATGCTGATGTGGAACAACTCAAGATGAGAAGAAACAGCTGCAAACATCCA